AAAACTGCCAACAATTCCCCATCCATGGTTCACTTTCTAAAAAGGCCATTTATTTCTGTCTAGAATGATGTACAAATGAGCGTTCTTGCTCATTTAGCCTCCGAGAAATGAGCAAAAACGGGACGGAAAACATAAAATTTTGCAATAATCTTACGCCACCCTTGCACAAAACGACGACAATTTTTCTAATTTCATAGACAATAGAAAACTGTATTTTTTCTACATAACCTCCCCTCGGAATTTAAAGCTGGATCCGCCCCTGCCTTTTATACGATGGTACGATAATACGAAAGTGTTTCAAATGTTTCTATTTTTTTTGTATTGCCTTTCGTATTATCGTACTATCGTATAAACGAATGCATGGGACCCGGGCTTAATTTCCTTAATAGTATTCAAACTAAGCGATATCTTCCAGACTACGACGCCACTGGCTTTGAAGAGGGATTCACCGATACGACACTGCCCGTCACTTATGCAACCCAGCCGACCCCGTCAACCAACCAATCGACGTTCGTTATTCAAAATGGTAACTATAGCAACGTGGCAAGCAACGGCAATGTTTCCGCCACCACGGAAAAACGTCCGGATAAGCGAAAAGGTGGCGTCATCTTTCCCAGTGTGAAGAACAAGCCAGTGTTGAACAACTCCACATTTATTACGTCTGATGTGGTAACCAGCGTCCGCGATATAAGGGTGAGTTTAGAATAGTAGTTTTCGATACAAGGGCGAAAAACGATCAATATTTTTTATTCGAATAAAGGACATAATACGAATAATAAGTTCTAATAAATAAAAATAGCCAAAAATAGAGGCCGTCAACTTCATATTTAAAATTTTATGTCAATGCCATTTTTGAAATTGTCATGTTTTGACGTTTGTAGATTTTCAAAAGCTTACTTTTGTAAGCATATGCTAGTGAAACAATGAGTGTAGGAAATTCAAGTGCTGCTTTCACGGTACGGTGTTTGTATAAGATACATATTTTGCATAAAATTTGCGATCTTTAAAAAAATCGTGTTTTGCTTGTGGCAACATCGGCGAGTGCAAAAAATAGACCATTTGAACGACTTTGAGACTGAACTTGTAGCTAAGTTATAATTTACAAATTGTAAGTAAACTTTAAATTATGATCAATAGTTGTCTATAAACCTACGTAATTAATTAAAAAAGCCTGGCGTTTATTTTTTAATGAAAATACTTCAAAATATGTGCATAAAAGTTTGTGCGTAAAAGTAAAACAAATGAACAGTAAAGAAAAGTGCTTCTTTTGGATCATCGCTTCTGATCGAAAAATGGCACTTTTAGATTCATTCGAATAAAAAAGGTAATTTTATTAATGTTGGCTTGGCGTCGACCTTATTGCAACATACTCTTTGACGGAGACAGTCAAAAGTAGTGATGGGCACTATCGAAAGATTTCGACTATCGAATAATTACTAAATTATTTGAAAAACATTCGAAATGAATTCATTCATTGAACAGTGCGCGGTATCTAGTGCAGTGTAGGTCAGTTACAAATTGCAAACTTATATTCTTTCGAAAATACAGGTTTCTAGTTAGTATAAACTAATTTAGTACTGTAATTTATTCATAAAAAAGTATTGGAGCGACTTAAAATGCATCATTCAGATTCGAGATGCATCGTCTACTATTTGACCCTAAGCTGTTTATCTTTAGGCAGGTTAATTTATAATTTATGAGTTCTACTTCTTCTTCTTCTTCTTGTTTGTTTGGCGCTGCTGTTGAGCAATTTGCAAATTTATACCTATAAAATCAGCGTGAAATTATACAAGCCATTGTCAGGATGCTTAATACACACCAACCGCGGTCTCGGGGGCAAGCGTTTTTCATATTCCAAGAAGGGTTTTGGAAATCTTGGATTAGATATCAGCCGTTTTCTTTGAAAGTGGTGAAAGTCCATTTTGACAAAAAATAGTTAATGATAAAAATGAATACAATTTACTATAAACTTTTCCAAAAAATCTGTTGAATTTTTGTACAAAAGGCAATTTTAATAAATTTGCTTGCTTTAAAAAATGAAAAATTAATTTATTTAAAATTTTAATTCGTTCATTGCAATGGAATTATAGTTATCGGATTATCCGATAATAGTTATAAAACAAATGAATAAAACACTCAATAGCAGTTCACAACTAAAATGAATTACATTTGAAATTAACTTAAAACTATCGAATAATTTGACAGTTTCAATTCGATGGCTTCCATCGCTGAAAACATCGCTTTCGAATAATTCAATTGAATTACAACTATCGAATAGTTCGATAGTTTCCATCACTGAATAAAAAAAACATTGCTATGGAATAATTCGAATGAATTACAACTATCGAATAATTCGATAGTTCCCATCGCTAGTCAAAAACAGTTTCTGGTGATTTTCGATGCGAAACGCTCATGCAAAGGTTAACGAGCAAATATTTATTAATTGAACCACGATTTATGCCCATATTAATTTACCGCGCTGAATTGGTGATTGATTTGGTAATTCGCCGCATTAAATTTATTACTTCCACTGGCCTGAAATACTTTTACTACTACGTCTTTGGTACTATTTCCTGGGCAAAAAATTAAATCATTAAGTGCAATAAAAGCTCGGACTTAATTGTAGCGTCGCGAGAAAAACTGCAATATTGACAATAAATAACACGGAAAAACAGTTTATCTAGTGATAATAGTAAGTACATCAGAGGCTGATATCTAAAAGCTGAATAACGATCGACAGAATGAACCATAAAAGGAGAAGCGAGTTTTTCAGGTGGTCTACGACTTTGATGGCATAAGAAGAATTCTTCTCAGGTTGTTACAGGTGTGAACAATTGCTAACAAAAGCCGAAATCAAAATGTCCTGTCCGGGCTTGTATTCCTTGAACCTTGTGGAGCGCTAAATGTTGAAAGGATTCCAATGGCCTCATCGATAGAATAAGGCGAAAAGCCATTTTTACCAAGCAACGTAGATACGAGTAGAAAGTACCGTAAAATATGAAACTTGATTACACTGGTCTGCAAAAAAAATTGTTTTCCTCCTCATTGTTTTCATGCATGGTAACATCATATTTGGTGCTCTAAACACGGAATTTAACATGCAGATAAATAGAGCACATAGATTTTGAATATAATTTCCATTTAATTAAAAAACGATTTTATCAAAGTAGGTAACACAATTACAAAAAAGTGGAAAAATGCTACGGTCTAAGTTTTACAGTCACAAGTGCTAGAAATATCAGTATGGTAGTATAATTCAAGTTATTTTGTAGTGTTTTTCTCTTCATCGTTTCTTTTAAAACTTTTAAGTCAGCACAAATATTCCATAGGAATTGAGAATATTTTATTTTTTTAAGTAATACCAGATTTGCATCATTTTCTTTCATGTTTGTTGCATGTGCTAGAGGCACTGATGGGTGTTTATTTCCGTTGTGAAGTAAAAAGCTTTCAAACTAGTCTTCGACGCATGAATAAAAAGTCTCGATTTATCAGAAGTTTCTGGAAAACTCAGTTCTTCAAGAAGCGCTGCAGCATCATTACAATATCCCAAATCATTTTCCTTGGAAAAACAACTCGTAAAATCTTGTCTTGTGCGAAAATATGACACTCTCGTACTTTTATCCAACAAACCCCACTGTTTCAATCTTGATCTGAGTAACTAAGCCTTAGATTTTGATAGCCCCAACTCTCTAACGAGATCATTTAAATCAGGTTGTTTAAGGAAATAAGGTTCTTTTGATGGGCTTGAAGATCCAGATAAAGTGTATGATGGTGAAGATGTACATGTATAATTGAAACTTGATTGAGGCTGTAGTCTAGAAGAATTTTTTACTTTCCGACTTCTCGCTATTTTTTGGAGATACTGGAGGTAAACTGCCTTTACGAGGAAGTGGTCACTTTGCAGATGCGATGTTCGGATATACAATCTTTTTTTTCGAGAATCCTCGTGTTGATGCCATGCAGAAATAACAGTCACTTTCATGATTTTAAAATTCATTCCAAAGCATTGGCATCGTAAACGGCATAGATTTGTGACCTCCTTCAAGCCAACCTCTCAACGTTCTGGAACAACTGTTACAGCTAATTTTTGGTAACCACCTTTTGTCCCTCTCATCAATATAAATTCCAAAATAAAGCTGATGAGCTTTTTTAACATGTTCTGTTTTCGCATTTCGCTGTGTTTTTAGAATAAACTCACCACAAATGTAGCGAAAACAGTCTGTAGAATTCTTACAAGTGCGCTGCATTTTATAACATAAAATTACGTTTATGGAATTTATTTTTCAAAATGTTTTTCTATTTTATATTTATTACCTCTGTTCATAAAAAAATAGATAAACTACATATAAAATCCTTAACAATATATATATTTAGTACACTTTCTTTTGAAACAGCTAATTTTCCAAAAAAAACTAGTGGGTTTTTCGGCTTTTTAGGCCGTCGTAAAATGGAATTTCTTCCTGACGTTTCGCAAGCATGAGTGGCTTACATCCTCAGAGTTGGCTTGCTTGAGCGCTTACAGATCAGAAAAATCTGAGGATGCAAGGCACTCGTGCTTGCGAAACGTCAGGAAGAAATTCGATTTTGCGACGGCCTAAAAACCCACGAGTTTCAAGGAATGGCCTCGAAAGTCGAATCTCTTTTGAGCTAATTTTTCCTTTGCGATTTTCTGCGTACTTGCCAGCGGCAGCACCAAAAACGGCGGATGACGCTTTTTTTGCAGTGATTCAGTCGACTGTTGCCTGTTTGTGCACAGCCTTCATCACTGAACAACGGAAGGAGCGGAAAAACCATAGTTTTACTCTTGCAGGTTGTAGACAAGTATATAGGCGCTATATTGTGGATTCGGAAAAAGTGAAAACTTAATCGGTCTAAATAATCAATAATCCTTCTTAACTAAAAAAAACGGAATTAATAGAAATCAATAGAAAGCAATTACAGATATAAGCATGCCATTGGAAAACGATTGGTTTAAGTATAATAAATCCATGTAGATGACAGAACATCCGAAGTCTCGCTGTTATTATTAATATTCAATCGATCAGACCAGATTACTATCGATCGGCCAATGGGGAAATTTCTATAGTGTTCTTTCCGGCTTCTAGGGTTATTCATGTGCCGATCTGTACACGGCTGGAATGCGGAATTCCGGAGTGTATTATCTGCAAATCAGAGGTACCACCTTCTGGTTCCTGAAAGTGTTCTGCGAACAGGAAATTGCCGATGGAGGATGGACGGTATGTTACAAACAGCATTCAGCATTCGGACCTTCTGACGTTGCTCCGTTACGCAGGTGATTCAACGAAGGAACGATTTTGGGATTCCGAGGGAAAATTTCAACAGAGACTGGAACGACTACAAGAACGGGTTCGGAGATCCAGCCAAAGAGTTCTGGCTGGGCAATGAAAACATCTACATGCTCACCAACAATGAGGAATATTCACTGCGCGTGGAGTTGGAGGACTTCGAGGGCAACAAAAGGTAACGAATCGGTAATTGACCTGGTAACCCCGAAGCACCTCAGCAACGGTACGCAAGGTAAATGGCTCGTCTTCAATACCACTTTCCCAATAATCGCACTATTCACCATACCGGTTATCAGGCAATTTGCGATCACAAACCGGCACGCGCCGATGGATGGGTCACGATTAATTGCTGTTGATTTGCGTGACAAGCCAGGAAAATCAATAATAAATTGAAACTTTCGACTGTTCTTCACAAATTATAATCCATTTTCTATGTAGATACGCTCAGTATTCGCACTTTAAAATATTCTCGGAGGCCGACTACTACAAGCTGGAAATTGATGGCTATGAGGGAAATGCCGGTGACTCGTTGAACGATCCTTGGTATGGCAGCAACAATAGCCCGTTTTCCACATACAACAGGTGAAACTTTGATAAAAAACACTGAATTTAAGACGCAGAAGTTTCCACACTTGGGGCTTCCACAATCTTTTCTCAAGGAAATAATAATATGCCAAACAATTTCAGGGACAATGACCGATCCAGCTTGAATTGTGCTTCAATGCTAAAAGGGGGATGGTGGTGGAAATCGTGTGGCAGAGGGCTAAACGGTCTGTACCTGAATGATCCACAAGATTTAACAGCTAGACAAGGTATTTGCAATGTATATGATAAATTTTACTTGCCACCGTATGCAAAAACTTACGTAAAAATTATCCAGGAAGTGATTGAGGTCAGGAATCATCATTTTTTTGTACATGCCCCATCAGTTCATTCAATCTATAATCACCACAATTTAATTGTGATGATTTAAAACAAGAAAAGCTTTACCCGCGGACAATCACATGTATTTACTCTCATGTATAATACTTTTTGATTTAACTGACTCGTGAAAAAGCGGAATTTGTAAAATTAATAGTATTACCAATGCCACTTTCTCTTGTTTCAATATTGAAATTAGCGCCGCTTTTTAAAAATTTCCTGATTATAGAGACAAATGCGTCTAAAAAGTTTTACAGTTTGAATTCAATTTAACTCGCACAACATTTTTCTGTAGGCATCGTCTGGTTCCGGTGGAGAGGCTGGGACTACACGCTCAAAAAGTCCGTCATGATGATAAAACCGAAAAACTATTTGAATGGAAGTTAAGCGACTGACCATGTCGTCCACATCAATCATCCTGTACAAATTGTATATGTCTCAACGAATCAATGCCAATTTATAATCACATAAGCCATAAAGCGGGGCCAAATTACGAAATTTCATCGGTTATCAAAGGATTGGCCACCCTGTAGATACTTCGGCCCGATCTATGCACTGACGTCTAGATATAACATGTATATAACGACGGAAAGAAAATGCAGAAAAAGTAATGTAGGTCACTATGTAAATGAACTGACGGTACCAGTTTCGAACTCTTAATGAATGCACACACTCTTATGTAAGATAATTAGTGCGTTATGTAAACCGGCGGCCCTTTGAATTGGCAGGATATACACAATCACTATTTAAAGGTTCACTTATCAGTTACGGTTTCCCATATTCATCCCAGTTAATCAGTATTACTATATATGTACATATAACGTTTTAAGTTAGATTAATGATCATAATATTTATGCACTTGTTCTAATCAGTGTTGTCGATTGGCTTTTTGATTATTTAATACTGCGACTTACGGGTGCTCCATTTGGCACTATTACCAAAATTACCAGAAATTTCCTTGATTCTGATATACGAGGTCCGTGAAAAAATACTGATTATATAAATCTGTGCTCACAACACTGATACTGTCCATGAATCAAGAGGATCCAAGAGAATAAAGGGACATTTTCGTACATACATTTCGCTTTTTAATTGACTTACAGTGACGAAGAAATAATGTTTATGTCAAGCTTGGAGCCGGTTTGTACGTGCTGTGATTGTAAATTGGCCACTTTCAATATAAACATTATTTCTTCAAACCCGAAGTTAAAATAAGAAGAGAAAACTGAAAGACTGTGAGATCCTTCTCTGAAATAATGTTATCAATAAATTAAGGCTACGTATAGGAATTGTTTGTCTAAAGCACTTTTATATTTTTGCATTAAGTGTTATGTGTAAATAATATTTTATCAAAAATGTACATGTTTTATAAATATATCTGAAATTAATTCGGTGCTGGTGTCGTTTAAATTTCGCCGAGTTCCAATTTTTTTGGTTTTCTCTATTTAACTTCACTTGATATTAAGCAGTTTCAGTGAAAAAAAAGTTTTGGACCGTCCATAAAATAAGCTTGAGTGTGAACCAAACAGACTCGTTTTGAGTGTTTACCTATGCGAAGCAAAAATACCTTTTAATGCAATCCTTTTCATTGTCATATAATAATAGTATCTGTAGCAGAGACACTTGTCTCTGTCTATAGTATGCGTTAGTATGCGATTGGTTAAATCGAGCGCTACCTAGATAGAATGGGTGACAAATCAGGGCCAGTAGGAGACACTGATTTTGATTTTTCCTAATGCGATTCTTTCTGATAAGATGGAGGAAAGGAAGATAACATGTAAGTCAATAAATGCAATGCAATTTTATGCAATAAAATAAAATAAGTTGTAATAATAATAATAATAATAATTTTATTTTCTCTATGTTATAAACAGATTATCGTTGTGGGCGAGTACTATTCAAAGCTAATAATAAAAATTTTAAAACACTTGGTAGTGAATTTCAGTAGAAAAAGTATTTCGATAAAATACGAAGGACGCCATATTAGTTTCCCTCCCATCCACATCCCTACGGGTTTTCCCCGAGTAGTATCGATTTTGCTTGACCTCTTCTACCGACAATGTTACTTTGGACAGATCACAGTGTGTAACCTCAGTGCAGTCAATGTCACTGATGAAAACAAACAAAACACACTCAGTGAAAAAGCTTTTTATCCAATATGTGTCTGCATTACAGCTATAGAATCACTAAACTACACTGGCTGCCGTACATTGACTAACTGCCATGGCTCAGTATGTAAATCAAGAGACAGTCCGCTGTCTGAAGGAGTGGGCCCCCTTAACTCACCTCTATGACAAACTGCCTTCTAAAACAGGGGGCCTCTTCTCACAAGACATTAAGCTTACTTGCATTGATGCGTTATCCCAGTTTCTGGTGATTGGTACTAATGTGGGCGTTGTTTTCTGGTATGACCGCAAAACAACAAACTTGCAAAGATTGAGGTGTGAGGTGAGCAAGTTAAAATGTTATATCGACTAACCAGCATATTATTAACTGAAAATATGGCATGCTTTTAGAACTCCACTTCCCCTATCCGTGTTGTAAAAGCTGTCTCCACGGTCGACTATATGGTTGCTTGTGGAAATAAAGAAGGCGGAATTACTATCTTCCAGATACCCAAGTCACATCCAGAAGCGTTACCAGAGAGCTTGAAACCTCAACAGAAGCAAGTGAGTCTGTGGATTTGATTTGACGACACAAATGTTAGCTCGCATGATCTTAGGTAGAGAGGTACACAGTAGCTGACCTGCACAATTCCCCTATTACTGCCCTGGAATGGTCGAAGAATGGTATTAAATTGTTTTCCGGCGATAAAGCTGGGAGCATAGTATTAACAGAAATCGATTTTTACTTGGTAAGAGCAAAACTGAACTGAACGGACATAGAACCTGTTTAGCAACAGAATGCTCTTTTAGCACGTTTGTAAATCATTAGAAATCCTGAATGAGTCCTACGAAGTGGTGCAGCTCAGCTACAGGCAACAGAATCTTTTGATATCCACGACGTTTCGAAGCATAGTTTGTCAGTATTCGGATAAGTGGAAAGTATGTCAGGTGGGCAAGAAAGATCGCAAAGTGTAGGTGTTACATGATGATTACCCGCATTAATACTAAATAAAAGGTATTTCAGCTTGGGAAAATTCGGCGGCTTGATATACCAACACGGGTATACCGCACAGGACGTTATTTTATACACTGCAAGGCCGGGGCTGCGCATCTGGATTGCAGATGTTGTGGGCCAAGTCCACAAAACGCTCCTTTTTAAAGTACGACATGGATATGATTAAATTGAGCCCTGAGCATGCTTTATTTCCTCGAAACCTTCCAGGACCTTCTGTGCAAGGATTGCCCTCAGGTGCCAGTACTGAACCCCATCTCAAAAGCCTTGCAGTCACGGAAGCCCCAAAAAGAGGCAGCTTTTGGCATGGTGCAGCAATTCTGCGACAACCTGTTGGTCAGCCATAGTAACGATGTGGTGTATATTCTAGATCCGCACAGCATGAATGTGCTGGCAACCGTTAACAACCTAAGAAGGTACACTTTTCACTTTCTGGAAGTGATGACAATCAACGTAATCATTGGCTACAGTATTTTAGATGTGGCCACTTACAAAGACGAACTATTTATATTGGAGGACAGCAGGAGCCTACTAAGAATCTCATACCATCCCGAATTTCTTCAAGGTAAATAACAGCAATTCAAATTCATTCCTGGGTTTCAGTCATTTATTGTCTCTATTTATCAATCAAAATACTGCAAAACAAAATTTCACTGCATGCCAAGGCTTAAAGCAACAACGCTACACATAAAAACTGATGATGGTGGAAAAATACACCGAAACGTATTTTGATTGATAAATAGAGACAATAAATGACTGAAACCCAGGAATGAATTTGATTTGGAATTGAAACACAGTTAGGAAAATATATACAATAACAGCATTGCTGACCTAATTTGCGTTAGATCGAGACCGCTTTCCAGAAGAAGTGGACTCCTATCTAGACAGGGCAATCTGCAAGGCAGAGGAGGCTCAAGAAACCCTTAGAGTGGAAGGCAGGACCTTTGACGAGATCAGCAATCAGGAGTTCGATGAAAGCATTCTCTTTAAGAATGCGAAGAAAACAAAGAAGAAACCTCCTAAAATAAATGAACGAAAAAGCCCTGATTTTGTGCCGAATAACGGAGTTGCCGATAATCTCAGTTTTACTCGGTAGATACTTACCATGAAAATTGTTGAACGCGTTGGATAAAACGGATTTTTCTTCCTTCAGGTCTACTTTAATGAATCTGAGCACCATTGGAGTGATGCCAGATTTGAGAAGCCCCGAATCCATAACCAAAGACATTAAGCAGAAGGAAAAAATACTCTCAAATGTGCTCAATCTGGAGGAGCTGAGCTTCAGCCTGGAACATGACGTTCAAGCAGAACCCCATACCAAAGAAACTTCCCATCAAATTATTAATTTGCCATTTCATGGAAACGTTGAAAATAGGATACAGTTTGAAAAAACTCGTGATTTTAAGAGTCGTCAATCGCCAGAAGTGTTTTCCGAAGGTACAGTTAAAAGACGATGGTACTCAACTAACAATGTCTGTATTAATCCGTCTGTTGTTTTGTGTATTTTAGTCGTTCATGTACCGAACGACTGGAACATCGCCAATATTCAATTACCCAACTTGGACTCCAACAGTGCCATGGCCCCTTCGAATAACATTCCAATAGTTCGACAGAAAAAGAACAGTTCTTCGACTAACGATTCCTCGCTGAGCGATTGGGAAATCGTCTAGGGGTTTAAGTTCAGTAAAAAATGTACTACTGCTATTAATTAAATCATTAAACTGTAAAATTATGCGGGTCTTTTATTTACAGTAGGTACATATTTTCATTAATTTTTTAGGTGTTGCGCGCTTAATAACGAAGAAAATACTGCTACTTTGAACATTATGTAGCAAGCATTATTGTTAAAATTTGTACCAGAATTTGTACAGAACCAGATTGAAGTTGAAAAAATCGAATGCAGCTATTTGGCCATTCTTGGCAACTCTGGACCGGTCAAAGATTAAAGAAACATTGTTCGGTTGTATGTGGTAAATTGTTAGTTGTTGTTAATCACTGGTTTCGTGTGGATGTCGAGATGCAAGTCAAGTAAGTGACCTTGTTAAGACACCATTGGCTTCAACTAGGGACTTATTGAGAAATATTTTTTCAAATAACTATTTCGAACATATTAGCGTATCTTCTAGTAGCACCTGACCCTTATTAAGTACTGCTTAGTATCAGTTCCCCAACATGTGCCTACTACTAGTAATGTAGCTAGACTCACACTTAGAGCCTCACAGAGTAGGTAGATTGAAATTAACAATGCCTGCAACCCCCTTATTAGAGGCATGACGCGTATTTTGCAACATAGTGGTTTTTTCAATCGCTCTGCAAAAGAATATTAAGAAGAAATAACTATTATTATAAATAACTTGCTCATTATCACGTAAAACGCAAAGCTTTAAACGATGGAAAACAACCGTTTATTGCGATAACGTGACTAATGGCAACATTTACTGTTGAGATAAAGGGCCGTTTGCTAGGAACAGTGTTTAATCAGTAAAAACGACAATAAATCTTAATGTTTTCAGAACAATGCTACTGTTCTGCGTATTGCTCATCATTGGCACGGGCGTTGCAGATGATCTGCACCCCCTCTCAGACGAATTTATCAACAAGCTCAACCGCCAGCAATCCACATGGACAGTAAGAAGTTTTAAAATTTACACCATCAATGTCCTACTGTTTCCTATTAAAAGGCAGGTCGGAACTTTCCTGCTAACATGCCGATGAAGTACTTCAGAGGTCTAATGGGTGTTCTACCTGGCGACAGCAACTACAAGCCACCGGTGCACATTCACACTTTGGAAGGTGTTGAAATACCGTCGTCTTTCGACTCACGTGAACAATGGCCTGATTGTCCCACGATCAGAGAAATCCGGGATCAGGGTTCTTGTGGCTCATGTTGGGTAAAATAAACCAGCAATTATGCCATTAGCAAACTAAACGATCAAGTTGCAGGCCTTTGGAGCCGTTGAGGTGATGTCCGACCGAGTGTGCATTCACTCGAAGGGAAAAACACACTTTCGAATTTCGGCTGACGATTTGGTGTCTTGTTGTTACACTTGCGGCTTGGGGTGCAATGGGGGCTTCCCCGGCGCCGCCTTTCACTACTGGGTTAGGAAAGGTATTGTGTCGGGTGGTCCATATGGATCCGACCAAGTACGTTGATCAATGCCGATGAGAAACGACTGCTTTTATTAAAGTTTCCTGTTTAAGGGTTGCCGTCCATACGAAATAGCTCCTTGCGAACACCATGTGAACGGCACCAGACCTGCATGCACAGGTGCGATTGGCCAATCGGCCTTAATATAAAATTTCAGATAAAATGTGTTTTTTTAAGGGGACGACAATAAGACTCCCAAATGCGTGCAGGAGTGCGAAAAGGGTTACAACGTTCCCTATGAAAAGGACAGGAACTTTGGATCAAAAGCGTATTCGGTGTCCAGTCGGGTTGAACAGATCCAGACGGAAATCTCCACCAATGGTCCCGTTGAGGGAGCGTTTACAGTGTATGCAGATTTCCTAAACTACAAACATGGTACGGAAAACGCCAATAGATAATGTTTAACATGGTATAACAAAGAGCCAACTTTTTGGCCATTTTAGGCGTTTACCAACATACCAGTGGCGCGATGTTGGGCGGACATGCTATAAGAATTTTGGGCTGGGGTGTGGAAAACGGGACACCGTATTGGCTGGTCGCCAATTCGTGGAACGCTGATTGGGGCGACAATGGTGAGCGCTTCCGACTAATCTAACTCTTAGAATGAAAACGAGTTTACCGATTTCAGGTACCTTCAAAATACTGAGAGGCGAAGACCATGTGGGAATTGAGAGCGGAATTGTGGCAGGTCTGCCAAAGGCCTAATTTCGACTAGATTTTAGATATCATCGTATATTTTTATTATTTCCCAGAATATGTCGCTATTGATTAGAAAGCCATTATTGTTATTAGACAAATTCAAGAACGAAAGTGCTGTAATATTACGAAACGAGTCCTTTCCAATAATCCCAGTTGTATATATTTTCCTGACTGTGTTTCAATTCCAAATCAAAATGCATTCCTGGGTTTCAGTCATTTATTGTCTCTATTTATCAATTAAAATACGTTTCGGTGTATTTTTCCACCATCATCAGTTTTTCTAAAATAACAGATAGTTAAAAAAAATAATTAATTTAAAAAACAACCACAGTTCGTCAAAAGCCTCATCATATCACACATTAAAATACATCACAATTGCAAAACATTCTAAAATTAATTAGGCCTAACAGATGATTAGTCAGGACAATCAAATTTGGGAAGAGACTAGAATTCTTCGTTCAGATACTTAAATATTTTTACTTACATGTGTAGCGTTGTTGCTGCTTTAAGCCTTGGCATACATTTGAAGTATTAATTTTGTCCATTTTGGACACAAAGCGAATAAAATACTGTTTATATTGATTTCTTTTACTTTCAGCTATTTTTCTT